TTGCCCCCCTGTGCTGGTGGTAAATTGAACTTTTCCCCTTGTGCTGTGGTCAGTGGAACTTTTGCCCCTCTGTGCTTGTGGTCTGTGGAACTTTGCCCCTCTGTGCTTGTGGTCAGATGGAACTTTGCCCCTCTGTGCTTGTGGTCAGCGGAACTTTTGCCCCTTCTTTTGTTGGTGGTCAGTGGAACTTTTCTCCCTTGTGCTGGTGGTCAGTGGAACTTTGCCCCTCTGTTTGTGTGGTCAGTGGAAACTTTGCTTCTTGTGCTTGTGGTCAGCAGAACTTTGCCCCCTTTTGTTTGGTGGTCAGTGGAACTTTTCTCCCTTGTGTTGGTGGTCAGTGGAACTTTGCCCCTTGTGCTGGTGGTCAGTGGAACTTTTTCCTTCATGCTGGTGGTCAGTGGAACTTTGCCCCTTGTGCTGGTGGACAGTTGAACTTTGCCCCTTTCTGGTGGTGGTCAGTGGAACTTTGACCCTTTGTCCTGGTGGTCAGTAGAACTTTGCCCCCTTGTGTTGGTGGTCAGTGGAACTTTGTAGAACAAGGCTCTGTTAATGTGTTTTTCTTAAGACGAAATACATTAATGTATGAATAGCTTTTTCTAAACTAAAACCTCAGTTTTCAGGTATAATTGCTGTGTTGGCACTTTGGGATAAATAAGTGGGTTTTTGGGTTGCACTTTGGGCATTCAGCCTCTTAAAGGTTCATCATCAATGTCTTAGAGTAATAGCCCACTAAAATGTGGAAGTGACGGAAGAAGTCCTTGAGGCAGAGGCCAGGTTGGCAAAGACAGAATGGACAACAAAAAACCCTCCAAAAAAGTCAACAGGTGTCGAGCCTAATTCCACATTTACCACAGACACATTATCTTTTCGGGGTGAACTTTATGTTGGGGTACTTTGCAAGACATCTGGAAAAATGCTTGTCATGCAGCAGGCTACCTGCGTGTGGATTTGGACTTTGGGCCACTGTGCCTTCTGGATACAAAATGGCTGAGATGATTGCTTCCTGGAATTTTAGGAAGGACCCAGCTTTCCCAGTGGCTTTGTAAATAACAAAATGCATTGTTTAGAGTGAATTGAAATAAATGTATAGACTCTTTTTTGTACCAGTGTCTAGCTCTGTGGGAGGCTAAATATAGCTTCATCATCTGGTCATTGAAGTGTTCGCCTCTTATATTTAGATTATTATTATGGACGTTGAGAGGCTTTTCAGCTAAACCAAATGCCATGTGAATTTAGACGTCGTGTCTTGATGAATGGAGAACAGGATGAATATAGTATGTCAGTCCTTTTGGTCCAGTTTTACTGCTAGTAGTTCTTCATTTCGCAAGCAGGTTGTCTCCTCCTTTCTCATTGGGGTATGAACAAGCTATGGGGGGAAGCCCCTGTAATTAGGTCACATGGTGCCACATCAGTCAATTCCAAGATTGAACAAATGTATAAAAAAGTGGCATGGTTGTATAAAAGTTCTCATGTAAATATGGTATTCCATAGGGAACAAGGGGTGACAAGTTCCACACTATTTTACCACTGCTCACCATGTAGACTGGGCATCTGGGGGGCTCCACCTAACTGTCTTTTCCCTCATAAATTCTAAAAATGGTAGGTATAGCCTGTGGCCATCTCACAGAGCTTACACAGTTTGACCCCAGATCTGGCATGCTTGCATAAAATGCATTATATCCTCATACAGTATCTACACCTGGCCATTGCAGCAGAGAACACAGGCATATGCTGAATCGGGTCTGTGGACTGATATGATCACAATTCAGTTTTTTTTTGTGATGTCCATCTTAAAGTGTTACTAAACCCAGGACCCTGCATTCACTATATCCGGTCCCTCCAGACCCTGCATTCACTAGATCCGGGTCTCCCCCCGGACCCTGCATTCACTAGATCCCCTCTCCATGGACCCCGCAATTCACTATATCCGGTCTCCCCAAACCCCGCATTCACTATATCCGGTCTCCCCGGACCCGCATTCACTATATCGCTCTCCAGGACCCCCCCACATTCACTATATCCGCTCTCCCCGGACCCCACATTCACTTTATCCGCTCTCCCCGGACCCTGCATTCACTGTATCCGCTCTCACCTGGACCCTGCATCCACTATATCCGCTATCCCAGGCCCTTGCATCCACTATATCCGCTCTCCCCGGACCTTGCATTCACTATATAATACATAAGGGGGGATGAACTGTGAGTGTAGGATTAGAACTTTTTTTTTTTTTTCTTTTAATGGGTGAACTGGATGAACTTTTGTCTTTTTTCGGTCAGACTAACTATGTAACAAAGTAACTATGTAATGATGGAAAAGTTTTTATGAACCTTCTGTAGATGTTTTCAAGGCCAAGAAAGACTGGACAGGTTTCAGATCCTTAGGGCAGGTCCATCGGGTGATGGGATCTGCAACAGTAGGAGTCCATTGGATGATGGGATCTGCAAGGTAGGGTCCATAACAAATTTGCATACAAAGAATACTCTCAGGAGCTTGGCTAGTACACCACAGACATGATTGCAGTGTTTATTTTAGGGAGGAGGAATAGATTACGATATCTTCCAGGTAGACTGAGGATAAACTGACCAAGGAACTGAAGAAGAATGTCATTAATAAATTCCTGGATTGGTGGCTGGTGCATACATGCCAGGTACTAGGGATGTCCCTCACGTGTGCTGAATGCTGGCTTCCTCTTATTGCCTTCACAAATTCATACCAGTTGTAAGCATCTGAATACTGAATCTAGCTTGGCCAATATCTATGCCTCCTGGATCAGGCAGGGGAGTTCTGGAATAAGAAGAATTGGATATTTGTTGAGAATGGTGATCTTATTCTGGCCACTATGGTCTACATAGACCTGTAAGGTTTTGTCCAAAGAGTAATCAGGAAAGGGATGGGGGGAGTGAAACCCTCCCCTAGATTCTTTTGAATGAAAGATACCATAGCTTGAGTCTGAGTCCAAACAAAGGGGACTGATCCTCTAGGAGGAAGGTTACCTGGCTGGTGGTCCATAGGACAGTCATATGGGGAGTGGAGGTTACATAGTTGGTAAGTTTGAATAAAGACACTGGTCCATCAAGTTCAACCTGAAGTTCGGTAGAAGCTTTATCGGAAACAGTGAAAATAAAATACAAACGTGCAACATTGTTTATAAGCATTGAGCACGTCGGAGCTAGAGAGACACAAAGTAATTCCAGGGACCTAGGGCCCTTTCAGCCTGGTCAGCTGGGAATCTGTCTGCTGATCCCTGCTGAGTAGGTGGATGACACAGTCCACTGTTCTCTATGGGGTAGTTGGATATAAATGGACTGCCTGCCCATTTACATCTGGCTATTATCTGATTCACTAGATGGATGGAGAATGTATTCCCCCACCTGTCTATTTTTAGCAGGTTGGATGTGATGCAGGCGGGAATAAACAGATACCTCAGTTTACATGCACCTCCCATAGAGAACAATGGATGGTCCAAATAGGTTTGCCTGAAAAATGGGCCGGTGGACCCTATTGGTGACCCATGTGAAAGGGGCCATAGAGAGATACACACAGTAACATAGTTTATAAACATCAATCATATGGGAGATAGAGAGATACAAAGTAACATTGTTTAGAAACATTGATCAGATGGAAGATAGAGAGATACAAAGTAACATTGTTTATAAACAATCGATCAGATAAGACATATGACAATTTTAGGAAAAAGAAAAAAAATTTGTATCCTTATCTACTGCATCAATATTTTTTTTTAAACTGAACTAAATCAAATAGAAAAAAAGTGTTTTACTTACATTTTTTTTAACATTTTTTTTTTTTAGTCTATGGATTTCATTAAAACATAAAATCATTTCTACAATACAATATCCCCCCCCCAAAAAAAACTAAAAACATTGTTTTAATACTATATATTTGTTACTTTACTATGTTAATTATGGACTAAATTAACCAGTCCCTAGTAAAAATGTAACATTTGCTCTCCATGGGAGGGGGGTATATAGGGTGGAGAGGTGAAATGGTGAAGGAAATTGATTGCCATCATCACTGACATATCAGTTGTAGGATCTATGAGATCAGTCATTGTGCTGGAGGAGTGTGAATTCCCTCAATTTCTATTTCTATACATCTTTCTATACCCCCCCCCCCCCCTGATATTTTCTTACAGTGATACATTTGTTATAATTACACTCTATATAAGTGATACAGTGGATCTCTAATTCAGGCCAGGCTCATACCATAGCGGTTTTGCGCCCTGCGTTTGTGCGGACACAGCAGCCATTCCTTTAAATAAGGGCTGCTTTGCCTGCGTTTTCCACAAAAATGAGGTTCTTGCGTCATTTTCAAAAAGCAGCCGCAGGGAAATCGCATGGTGCTTTCCCACACAGAAGAGAAATATATTTCCAATATATTTAGAAAAAAAAAAAATGATATATGTGAGATATTTATAATATATTGGCCTACGCTAATATATTTTAACATGTGTTCTAAAAAAATGTAAATATATTTTCTAAAGTGTGTGTGTATATATATATATTATATATATATAATAAAAGATATTTTTCTTCAGAATTTTTTTAACATACAAAAAAAGTCATTTTAATATATATTTGGAAATGCATCCCAAAAAAAAAAATGTAGACTAAATGTATGTTCAAAAGAACAAAATATATTTGAAAATGTATTTTTAAAATATATAAAAAAGCATTTCAACTATATACAGTTGTGTTCAAAATAATAGCAGTCAGACATCACTAACCGGATCAATCACTGTTTTTGGTAGAAATGATATTTCTACATGGCAAATAATTTACTAGCAGGTGTAGTAGAGTAATAGAAATCCAACAGACCCAACAGTCATGACATGCATGCTGCTGATTCTGTGTCATTGAATCACTCATTGAAAGGGGCATGTTCAAAATAATAGCAGTGTGGAGTTTCTATTAGTGAGGTCATTCATTCTTTGAAACTGTGGAATGTGGTCCAATCATCCTGGGCTGGAATACCTGATCACAGGGGCCAGAAGTTGGGTGACTCCATGCAACACAGATGTACAGCAGTTCTCAGAAACAGTGCGACTACAACCAAATATTCATGAAGTCTTCAAAGGAAAGCAAAATCTTCAAACATTTCTCAGTTTTATATAGTGAATGTTTGAGTTTGTAAAGAAGAATACAAACACTGCGATTTTTTTTTGAACCGTCTAATATTCACTTTTCTTCAATTTTTTTTTTTAGAGAAACAATGTTTTGATTTGGAATAGAATGTGTCGTGTTCCCAATGCACTTGTGTGGATGGAAATAAAAGCTGTTTGAAGGATTTTGAGCTTTATTCACTTTTTTTCAACACACTGCTATTATTGTGAACACAACTGTATATAATATATATATATATATATTTCTATATTGAATATGGCCAAAATTGTAGCATTTCAAATATAGTCAATATATTTGGGAAGAATATTTTTTTAAATATTTTTCTTCCACGTGGATTTGCACCCGCCACAGTATGAACATAGCCACAGTAATTCTTTAGAAGGGCAATACGTGATATTACTGTTTGGGTTGAAGTACTGACATGATGTAATAGTTAAAAAAAAAAAAAAAAAATTGAGAGACCCTTTAGAATAAAAATGCATTACAAAAACAGATGGGCAGTGTCTACTAGTGATAGATTGAAATGGTGAGTCTCACTTCTCCTGTTGTAAGCTCCTTAATATTATTGATATTGTATTTATTTACAGGTACTTCCCTGTCAAGGGGTGTACAATCTAAGGTCCCTAACTCACATACACATACTAGGGCCAATGTAGACAGGAGCCAATTCTCCTACCAGCAGGTCTTTGTAGTGTGGTAGGAACCTGGAGGAAAAACCCATACAGGCACAGGGAGAACATGCAAACTCCAGGCAGGTGGTGCTGTGGTTGGGATTTGAACCGATGACTCTAGTACGGCCAGGCAGAAGTCCTAACCACTTAGCCCACTAGGGATGGGCCGCATGTTTGAGTTGAACACGCGAACATGATGGGCACCACAATGCACTGCGCCTTGATAGTACATTGGGATTGGACAAAGCAATGCACCTGATCACAGGTCAGGTGCATTGCTTTGACCAATCACAGCATATGATGACATCACAAGGGGCCCCTTGTGACGTCATGATAGTATATAAGACAACCTGTCATCACAGGCACAGCTGTCAGATGGCGGGGAGCCAACATCGCTAGCACAGTGGAGTTTTTTTTTTTAAATTTCAGATCGCGGCGACTGCTGGCATCGTGATTGATGTTGGATCTACTCCGGGGGCCATTTTTTAAATTTTTATTTTTAATAAAGGACTTGTCAAAGACTAGCTCCTGTCTTTTTATATACTACACTTTTTTTTGTAAATGGGTACCCCATACTCATTCACATGGGGGGGCAGGATCTGGGGGCCCCCTTGTTAAAGGGAGTTTCCAGATTCCAATAAGCCTCCTGCCCACAGACCCCCCACAACCACCAGCCATGATTGTGAGGAAGAGGCCCTTGTCCACATCAACATGGTGCCCCCCCTGCTCTAAAGCACCCCCCCATATTGTGGGCATGTAGCCTGGCATTGGTTCGGGGGTGGGGGGGGGGGCGCTTGCGCATCCCCCACTTTCCTGACCTGCATGCTTGGATAAGGGTCTGGTATGGAGTTTTGGAGGGGACCCCCACACCATTAAAAAAAAAAAAAAGTTGGTATAGTTCAGAAGGGGGGCGCTCGCTCGCCCTCCCTTTCTTGACCTACCGGGCTGCATGCTTAGATAAGGGACTGGTATGGATTTTGAGGGGTTCCCTTGAAATCCATACCAGACCCAAAGGGCTTGGTATGGATGGTAGGGGGGACCCCACATCTTTTTTTTTTTTTAAACAAATTTTTAATGTTGGGCAATGCCGACAATTCTTTTGACATTCAGCTGTCCGGTGGGAAACCCCACCGGACAGCTGAAACATGAATTAATGTCTCACTACTAAAATACCACATGACTCAATAATAGAACTCATGCCGGATATTAGTAACTGAGTGGGATCCTACCACATACTCAGACGCAGTAAGATACCGCTCAGTTGTTCGGCCCTTGTTCGAAGTTCACGGTCGAACATTCTGTAGGTTCGGATGTTCGACCACGAACCAAACAGGGGGGTGTTCTTGCCTATTGCTATTAGCCACTATGCTGCCCAATATACAATAAAAGAGAGAATCGATCTTTTTTCTGCAGTAGGTGAGTGAAGCTGAGAACTCACTACTGGAGTCAACAGGAAACCTACCAACCCAGAGAGGGATTTAGCCAGGAGGATCCACACAAATTTGTATCACCTGTAAGGCTTATGAGTTGGATGGGAGCAAAAGTGCCAACTGCTCGGCATGGTGTCAGTGGCAACAGCAGTTCCCATTGGGCAGAGCTATATGGGTTGGTTGGCACCAGGGTAGAGGAAAGGTGGTTGCAGCCAATTACTGTGATCAATGAGGGAGAAAGATGGAAAAGATATCTGGCAAAATTGTACAATATTTTAAAATAATATCATCAGTGGCAGATTTATCCCATCTCCCTTTAAGATAATGAAATAGATGAATGCCATACACCCAACACAGGATAGAGGGGCTCGGTGAAGTAGGCTGTGAAGGTGTGGAGGTGGCGGATGGGGTCACACATATAGAAGGAGATCTGCCCGGCCTCATAATCCAGATATACCCGGACTCGGCTACCAGAAATATAGTCAGGGAGTTCAGTCACAGTATTGTCATGCACGGCTTTATACTTTTTACCCTTCCTGTCCAAACCCCAGGACACGTCATTTGTCCAATAAGGGAGTCATCCCCCTCCCTGTCTATACAGTCATAACACATCCCAATAATCCAGTTATTGGATGCATGGACATCTACTTCCCAATAATGTCGCCCTGAATAGAAATACTGATCACCTAAAACCTGGAAATAATCTACAAATCTTTCCTCAGTCTCTGGGTGATACTGATGAGTACCTGACCTGGACAGAGTCTTCTTATCATAGGAGATGCATACATAATTAGAAGCTGTGTCCTCATCCAAAACCATATCTACAACTTTCTGGATATAGATCCCCCCAATGACACCAGTGATTATATCTGATAAACCAGTGCGGAACATATTGGAGACCCTGGCCACATGCAGATCCCCTCCATCATAGAGGAGTTTATCATGTCTCTCTGTGTCCTCCCCATCTCCAAACCCTGTATCATACAAGTCACCTGTGTCCGATTCCTGTAGGACGGTCAATGGATCTGTCATGGCACACAGTTCCTCTAACAGATGCATCTTCTTGGACAGCTCCTCCATCTTTAATTCCAACTGCTGGATCAGATTGTTGACTGGGCTTAAGATCCGCTCTGCCTGCCCAGAAATCTCACTCAACATTCTCTTCTCCAGGTCTTCCAGATGCCTCCGGAGATCTTGGAACAGGGCAGTGACTCTCCCGGTTTCACCATCTGCTTTGCCTTTTACTCTTTCCCCGTGTTCCTGCAGACTCAGGACTCTTTTTTCTGTCTTCTCCCTCCTAGTAATCACTTTCTGAAGATTATTTTTATTAGTTTCTTCTTCTTCTTTATGAAGGCCTCTTGTAGAGTCTCCACCTGGTGTCCTCGATGTTCTCCAGTTAAACTGCAGGAGATGCAAATACAAGCAGAGTCCTCGGTGCAGCAATACTCCAGGATCTTCTTATGGACGGAGCATTTCATGTTCTCTGGGGTGGTGGTGGGGTCACACAAGACATGTTCTGGTGACTTACTGTGGACTCTCAGATGGTTTTCACATAGAGAAGCCTCACAAAGCAGACAGGACTTCACAGCAGGTACAGAGGTGTGAATACAGTAAGTACAGGAGATGCCGGTCTTCTCTGGATCTGGAGGAGCAGACAGGAAATGCTGAGTTATATTACGCAGAGTTATATTTCTTTGCAGCGGGGGTCGCTCCTGGAACTCTTCCCTGCACTGAGGACAGGAATAAACTCCGGACCCCTCCTGTGTATCCAACACGCGGTCAATGCAGACCCGGCAGAAGTTGTGCCCACATTTCAACATGACGGGATCCGCATAAATGTTCAGGCAGATGGAACAATCCAGCTCAGCTCTCAGATCTGCAGACGCCATCGCAAACCGCAAAAAAGAGAAATGAACATCCAACTTGGTTATTTGCCAAAACCAGTTTATCCGGTTAGGCAATTTCCTGCAGAGGGCGAGGCTAAGAAAGGGTTTGTACAGGGAGATTAAAAAGGTCAAACAGCTGAAAACAGAACTGAAAAGTCAACAATCTCCCCCAATAAACAAATGTAACCACCTTGTCATTAGCAGGGGTGTCTCCTCAAATTTAGACTGCTTGGCCACAGTCAGTTCCTAGTCTGGCTTTGCTCAGTTCCTTGGAAGTTCTGCCTCGCTGTCTGTTCTCCATTCTGTCAGTAGGTGGCACTGGTACCTCTGGTATTGGCATGAGGATACAAAGTAGGCTTGGGTTATGAATATTCATATGGGTGGTAATAGGTTTGTGTTCTGGAGGATATATCCCACCTTGGTGAGTGGGGCCTCCATCCTTGTTACAATGGCATTGCTGTCCCGTCTTTTGTTCCCTCTGAATATGAAGAGATCTGTGAAGAGGTGTGACATTTGCTGGGGATTACAGCAAAAATGTGCCTATTATGCTAGCAAAGTGTAAATTTTGTCTATGTATCACTGGATATATATATATATATATATATATATATATATATATATATAGTGTAATCAGGGGCAGACTAACTCTTTGGAAACTAGGGCACTGCCTGAGGGCCCGGGGTCAGTAGGGGGCCCCATGAGATGCCCCTGGTACTTTTTATAGGCTTTTTTGAGTTTGGGCAAGGACACAGGGGCCCCATGAGTTGTCATTCCACCCGATTGTAATATTGTATCTTTCCTCCTTTTCCATCATGGCCAGATCTAGGAGGGTGCCAGGGTGAGCTGCTCCCCCCCCAGATTTCAAAGCCATCAGCTCCCCCCTGCCTGAGAAAAGGATCCCATAAGATCTGGGGGGGAGCTGTACAGGAGGGTTGACACTATACACTTTTGCCAGTTCTGACATTTCATTCATACCTGTAAAAATCTGCATTTTTTTTGCTAGAAAATTCCTCTGGAGCAACTGGGGGTGTAGGATTATAACTTTTTTTTTTTTTTTTTTAAATGGTTGAACTGGATGGACTTTTGTCTTTTCAGCCAAACTATGCAACTACGCTGTAGCATATAAAAAAAGAATCACGTTTGGGGGTTATGTTACAGAGTAGTTACATAGTTAGTCTGGGAAGAAAGAAAGAACAAAAAAAAAACCACACAACAACAAAAGTCCATCCAGTTAAAACAATCAAACCCCAAACATGATTTTTTTTTTTTTTCTTTTAATGGTTGAACTTTTGTCTTTTTTCAGCCAGACTATGTAGCTTAACCCCCAAACATGATTTATGTATTTTTTTTACATTCAGGATTTTATTTTCAACCAAAATACAAAGCTGCTGCAAGGTCCATTGATGCAAGTTTATAAGGCCTGCTAACATAATATTCTAGCTACACGTTCCGATTCCAACAGCATCAGTATATCTCCCTCACAAACAGGACCCTTTACATTTCTTAGGATGGAGCAGTTGGTATCATCCATGAACTCAACAATTTTAGAATTTACATGGTTTTTATTTATTTTAATTTTTGTTTACACTGCCCCCTGTCTAGGCTATACTAGACTCCATATCTCTCCTTAAAAAGTTAATTTAATTGATATTTATTGATGTAATAAAATTAATAAAGTCATGTAAAAAAACCTTTCCCTTTAAATTAGTTTTTTTTATTAACATTATTGCGATCACAATATCAGAACTTATGTAAGAAAAACAATATTTTTTTATTTTAATTTCTGAAGACTAGGTTCACATGAACTCCTCTCTAAGTTAATGATACAGTGGGGGTTATTTACTAAAACTGCATGGTGCAAAATCTATTGCAGTTCTGCATAGAAACCAATCACCTTCCAGGTTTTATGGGCAAGGCTTAATTTAAAACAAGCTGAAGGTAGAAGCTGATTGGCTCCGAAGCAGGGGTGGACTGACCATTTGGAAACTAGGGCACTGCCCAAGGGCCCAGGGTCAGTAGGGGGCCCCATGAGATGCCCCTGGTATCTTTTTCATAGGGTTTTTTTTGAGTTTGGGCAAGGACACAGGGGCCCCATGATCCCCTATTGCCTGGGGGCCCCATGAATTGTCAGTCCACCCCTGCTCCCAATCATAGCTGCACCAGATTCTGAGGGATCCAGTTTTAGGAAACCAACCCCAATACCTTGGAAGGACTGTTTGTCAGGATAAGGAGACACTGTTGACTTCTAGAACTATGGAGAAATTTGTCTAAAGCCAGCCATCCATGGGTCAAATTCCAAAAGAATTTGCTTTAGAAAATCTTTCCTAAGAATTTTTGTTCAAATTTCACACCATTAGTGGGTTTAGAGAAACAGCCAATTTTCATGTGACAATCGAATTTGAGCGATCAGGCAAATTTTTTGAAAGACGAACAAATTTCTAATCAGTGATGAGAAATGTAAAATGAAAAAGAAATTAGCTGGGACCTGGAAAGAAAAGAAAATTCTTGGCCACAAATTATTTTCTGTGGCAACATGAGGTGAAATGGAAGGCTTGGCTGGTCGAATTTCGAAATCAATGATGGCGCCGTCGCATTACAAAAAAAAAAAAAAAAAAAAAAAAAAAGGACGCACAAAAATTTTCTAAAGAATATTTGTTTGTAATTGGACCCGTGTATGGCCTGCATAAAAACTCACCTGGAAAGTAGGCACAGCATGAGGAAGCTGAAAGAGTTTAGGTGGCCATACACTATACAATTTTCTGTCCAATTTCCTTTAGATTTACCTTCAACTATGTAGTGCAATGGCTTGCTAATTGGATACAACTGAAAAAAGTGTTTGGATTTGACATAGTATATTGTTTTTGGTAAATCTAAAGCAAAAAACTCAAGAAAAAAAAAAAAATTGTATAAATGTATCCTTTCAATCAAATTAGAGACCGTTTTCAGTAGTAAAAAAAAAAAAAAAAAAAAAAAAAAAAAGGGTGCAGACACTGTAGCTCAACCGACTGAATTTTACCCCACCCACCCGTGTAAGCGCAAGGGTCTCATCCCCATGGGTGGTGGGAGGGAGGTAAAGCAGAAGGCAGAGCTGCAGTTTTAGTGCCCAACTGCCCATCTGAAGAAGGAGATGCTGCCACTCAGGGATGGACACATGGAAAAATTGAAACGTCTCACAGTAGAGGCACAGTGGTCAGCATTTTCAGGGTCAAAACAGGTGGTGGCGACATATGGCCCCCTCACCACCTATCAACCACCAGCAATGAGAGCCGACCAGCCCTTATAGACCTTTCAGCTCCCCTTCCTCCCTCAGACGTTGCTCCAGAGCCCTTCAGGTTTTATGCACGCCTCCGAGTCCACCTCCCCTCCTTTATCTCACCAACATAGATGCCAATCAGTCCTCAGACTGAGGAGAGCTGCTTTATAACAAAAAGGAATTCCTTACAAGAAAACATAGAATAGCAAAATACAAATGTCATAAACACTGCACGCCACCCAAAACTGCAGCTGTTTGTGATGATTTCAGTACTACAAGCTCTGACGCGTGTCGTCCAAAGACATCTTCAGTGGACAGTTTCCCTGAAGATGTCACTGTACAAAAAAAAAACCGCTTCGGCGCAGTTTGTGGCACTGACATCACACATGCCTCAGTCAGCGTGTAGGGTTTATGAATGTCTTTCATATGCGACAGCATATTTACCATTGTGTTTGCAGTCATTGGCTACAGCTATCACATGGTACAGGACCACTGTGAATGGCTCTGTACCGTGTAATCACTGTGACCGATCAAAAACAACAAAAACAGTAAACAAGCTGTTGTGTATGAAAGACAGTCATGACAGTTGTGTTTGTCATCATACGATTGGCCAAAGTGATCACATTATGCTTGTATACATTCACAGAATCACGCCACTTCCTGCCCAAGGGAGTGCACATGAAGACGTCCTTGTACATCCTCCTCCCGGAACTGGAGGAGAGCACCCATCTGGCTATGTGTACATTACCTGGGTGGGAAGTGATTAAAAATTACACTTACTATTTCAGGTACTTCAATAGCGCTGTTAATTTACGCAGCGCTTTGCTATTATATATATAAAAATTCACATCAGTACCTAACCCTCAGGGGGTGTACAGTCTAGGGTCCCTAACCTACATTCATACTAGGGCCAATGTGGGCAGGATCCAATTGGCCTAGTGGCATGTGTGTGGGGGGGCCATGTAGGCTCCAGGCAGCTGGTGCTCTGGTTGGGATTTGAACCAACGACCCTGGTGCTGCCATGCAGGAAGGAGAAGGAGGAGAAGTCATGTGTCCCAGAAGACACCGGACCATTCACAAAGCGCAGCGCTTCTCGCGCATGCGCAGTGGGCACTCGGCTGTAACAGAACCCGCCGCGGGAAGACTGCAGCGCTGGAGCGAGGAACAGGTAAGGAGTGAAGAGCTGAGCGGCCGGCCCGGTATTCTGACATGGTGACGGCAGAAATACCAGACTGCCCGCTTTACATTCGCTCCATAAGACGCACTGACATTTTTTTTCCCCCTTTTTTTGGGGGAAAAAAAAAAAAAAAGTGCATCTTATGGAGCAAAAAAAATACGGTAATTACTGTAGAGACCAATTTCCATAGTCCATACACTCTTACAACCAAGGCGCCATATTTGAGACATATATTGGTGCCCATATTATAATAGTGTATCCCCATACACTATTATAATATGGGCACCATGTTGAAGACCAGCCACCCCTAACTTGATGTTAACTAAGTGATCGATTGATTGATTTTTTTTTTTTTTTTTTTAAAAAAAGGCCAAATTCAAAAGCCAAAAAGCATGCATAAACTTTTGGGCGCCATATTGAGGACTGACTGCCAGCACCAACTTAAGTCCATGACAGATTACCAATTAAATATAAAAACATAATTAAAATATTGCACCAGATTTTTTAAACTCAAACTGATGGATAATACAAATAAAGTCTAGCATCACGTCAATGAAACTCCTGGGATATGGATCTGGTCAGGTAAGTAGCAGAGGGGGTTGTTCATCAGTTTCAGCTGCTTAGGTGTTAATGAAATTAAAAAGGTGCACTAGATGGGCAACACTGAGATGAGCCCCCAAAACAGGAATGGTTTTACAGGTGGAGGCCACTGTCATTTTTTTCCCTACTTATCTTTTCTGACTGGTTTTCACTAGTTTTGCATTTGGCTAGGGTCAGTGTCACTACTTGTAGCATGAGGCCATACTTGGATCCTACAGAGGTTGTACAGGCAGTCCAACTCCTCCAGGATGGCATATAAATACGTGCCATTGTCAGAAGGTTTGCTGTGTCTCCCAGCACAGTCTCAAGAGCATGGAGGAGATTCCAGGAGACAAGCAGTTACTCTAGGAGAGCTGGACAGGACCATAGAAGGTCCTTAACCCAACAGCAGACCGGTATCTGCTCCTTTGTGCAAAGAGGACCCGGATGTGCACTGCCAGAGCCCTACAAAATGACCTTCAGCAGGCCACTGGTGTGAATGTCTCTAACCAAACAATCAGAAACAGACTTCATGAAGGTGGCCTGAGGGCCCGACCTTCTAGTGGGCCCTCTGCTCACTTCCTGGCACCGTAGAGCTCGATTGGCATGTCCACCACTGGCGCCCTGTGCTTTTCACAGATGAGCAGTTTCATTCTGAGCACATGTGACAGATGTGAAAGACCTGGAGAAGGTTCTGCTGCCTGTAACATCGTTTAGCATGATAGTTTTGGTGGTGGGTCAGCAATGGTCTGGGGAGGCATATCCATGGAAGGACACACAGATCTCTACAGGCTAGACTATGGCACCGACAGCCATTAGGTATCGGGCTGAATCCTTGGACTCATCAGACCCTACGCTAGTGCAATGGGTCCTGGGTTCCCCGAGGAAGGCCCCCAGCACCCTTTGAGACTGACTTGTTAGGGTGCATGCATGGACAACGTAGGCAGGGACATGGGAATTTTCCTTAGGGGTCAAAGCCCCTTGCACTGAAAAGAATTCTCAATATTTCTGGTAGTCCAAGATGTGGGCCATTTTATATTCCTCTTTATCATTAAAAGTGACTGGCATTACAATGAACTTGAGAAGAACCTATAGTATCCCAATGAACTGACTTCAGAAGATTTGTCATGAAAGCAGGAAAATAATGAAATTAAGGGGGACATTTTGCTTACTTGATCCACAGTGACCCAAAAAAAGCACATGCCCATTTGACAGAGAAAGGTCTTCAATGAAGTCCACAGCCAGATGAGTCCAGGGCAGGGGCAGACTGACCATTTGGAAACTCGGGCACCGCCCGAAGTCAGTAGGGAGCCCCATGAGATGCCCCTGGTACCCTTTTCATAGGCTTTTTTTTTTTTTTAGTTTGGGCAAGGACACAGGGGGATCCCTATTGCCGGGGGCCCCATGAGTTGTCAGTCTGCCCCTGGTCCAGGAACATTCAGAGATTGGCAGGTAAAGGAGTAAACAAAAAGGGCTTGGACCTATAGGACTTGGAATGGGCACAAGGCTCACAAGCTTTCAC